TTTTGAAAGAAAGCAGCGGCCTCAGATCTTCTCTGTGGATTTTATTCTTTTTATTTTCAGATTATTAGTTGGTTTATGTTTGAAACTAAAATGGTTGCATATCCTAAAATGTTATCCTTTTACCTTTCACTAAATGTAATTTCCATTACTCTATCAGTTGTAGTTCTTTATTCGCGTTCGAAAATTTTGTTAAAAAATTGTGAAACACCATGTATGTGTTTTTTCTATGCTTTTATCTTATAGTCGACGCCTGAAAGTAATGTTTCCTATTTATTTCCAGGAGACTACAACAAATAGAGGGATCACAGGTATACTGTTGTATTGATAAAGATTTCAGCTACAAAAAATACTTTACTCAATTTATGTCAGTTTGATAAATATTGTACAGGGTTATTTACAATTTTTGAAAACAAAGCAAAGACCTCTCAGATCTTAACTGTTGATTTCATTCTCTTTCTCTTTCCAGATTATTTGAAGCTCATTGCACTGGAAACATCGTAGGTAGGAGGAAGAAATGTGCGCACATTATCAACAATTTGCATGCCGCATTCATCAGTGCCTTCAACTGAACGAAGTATGTACTCTTGGGCTCCTCTTGGCATTTTTGGTTCATGTTTGAGACTAAAATGGTTGCATATCCTAAAATGTTATCCTTTTACATTTCACTAAATGCAGTTTCCATTACTCTGCCATTTGTAGTTCTTTATTTGCGTTCGAAAATTTTGTTAAAAAGTTGTGAAATACCATGTATGTGTTTTTTTCTATGCTTTTATCTTATAGTCGACGACTGAAAGCCATGTTTCCTAGTTATTTCCAGGAGACTACAACAGATAGACGGATCACAGATACACCGTCTACTGTTTGATCTCTTTAAATGTTCAGCAAACGATGAATGTTAATTAGGCTATTTTCTCATGCATGGGGGAATTTCTTGAACAAGTAAAACAACCTTTTTTTTTCCAAACATTTTCACGCCAAACACCATTCTGCTCAGCTGCTATCTGCCCCAAGGTAGAAAATATGAGTATTTGAGCGGGGGTGGGGGTGGAGGTGCAAAAGTTCCATATCACCAACCTCTGACGTTGTGAGCCAGTGTAATAAAATAAGAGGTATTACTTTCTGAGCCACTCACGTACTTATTTTTTTCAACATATTTTTTTTCAGAATTCAACTAATATCTACATGTCTATGGCCTCATTGATCCAACTTTGTATATAGCACTGCTCAATACAATACTAATATTTACAAAACAAAAATGTGGCTCTATTTTTGCAGGTGTGTTTCTTTTTTTTAGGCGTGTTTCTTTTTTTTTAGGTGTGCTTCTTTTTTTCACGGTTAGTTTCTATTTTTTATTATTTCTATAAGAAATAAGCTTGTAGGTTTTGCGATGTATCAACCTTTTCTTGTTTATTTGATATTGTTGTATTATATTTAGGTCTCGAGGAAAACGTTGGTGTGGTTTATACAAGAGCCTATTAGTAAACGTTGGTTGAATTTATACATGAGGCTATAGAAAACATTGGTCGGATTTAGTGTTTCGGTAAATATTGGTTGGGTTATACTTGAATAAATAATGTTGGTTCCTTTTAGAGAGGGATCTTAACCAATTACAGTATCTATTGTTATATAAGTTACTGACCCTCTCCAAAAATAACTTAAAAAATGTCTTCCCAGTTTTTTGTACAATCAATTTAAAACAATTCTTAGATTCTTGCTCCTTTTTTCTTTTATTCTTTCAGACTCAGTAATATCTGCGTGTTAGTGGCTTTGTTACCTTGATTGGGGTGAAATAATAAAAAGAAATATGAGTAACACAATATCTTGTTGTCCAAATATTTCTTCATTCCAACAGAATTTGTGTTAAAACAGAATAAATCTTTGTGAAACCTGTGTTTTGCGTGGAAGGTACCCTGCCATGGAGACGCAATTTGCACCGAGGGCTGGAGCGAGCAAAGGAAAAATGAAGCTTTACTGCAGAGAAGACGCACGCTTGACGGTAAGAAAACAACAAAGCGACATCGGGGGGAGGGGAGAGCGTCTTCCCATGTATTCATTGCAATCGAGACTGTCATTCCTGTGTGGGCCTGTACAGCCATAACAGATGATGATGCGCCGCCATAAATCTTTAGGTGCAGATCTAAGGTTTCTCTAGAAGAATGGATGCCACACACCCTGCCATAACAAATATCTTGTCAACCAATTTTATGGCCTTGATGTAATTTGACAACCAATCAGAGAGAAGTATACCGCACACGTGTGAACAGACACTCTCCACTGGGGTTATTCAAACGGACTTCAGATTGCATTAAGTGGCTTTATGTAATATTTAGCGTCTCAGTAATCTTTTATTTTTCGATGTAAATATCACTGGGGAAATTTGTAATTGTACATAATTGTTGTTAGCCCCCCCCCCTCAGCTATGGGTGAAATGGGGCTGCATCCGAAGCCACAACAGGAATGCCTAATGTGGTGAGGTAGTGACTTTATGCTATATAGGGGAGTACGATACTATGAAGAAGAATTAAGTAGAGGTTGTTGCTATCATTATTCTCTCCTCTACAAAATATGTACATTTTTCTACGTGTGTGTCTCTTTAGTTAGAACTTAATAAAAAAACATTTTCAATGATAGGTGCAAAAAGAAGTCCTGATGAATTGAAATTTATCAACAATTGCGACTTACCTGATTTAAAAGTTTTTGGATTCCATAAGAACTCAATATCGCACTTCATTTTTTAAATAATAATTTTATCCCAAGCAAGGCGATAATGCCACTAAGACGCAATGGGTTACTTGTCGCGAAAGAGAGTGAGAAACCTTTTGTAAGGAGAAAGGACAATAAAAGAACAGTTTTCGCGAAGACAGGTGATTGACGTTGCATTTAATTTTTTAAGATTGTAGATAGCAGGGCAACAAGAGTGTTCCACAGGCGAGAAGTGTGGGAAAAGAAATTATTAGAATAGAACTTATGGTTACGTGTAACTTTAACATCATGAAAACATAGTTGACAATCTAGTACTACGCTTATATTCATGCAGTCGGGAAACCAAAAAGGAAAGCTCATTAGAACAACTGACATGATAATATTTATAGAAAAGGCACATCATAGCGGGAAGAAAGCGAATGAAGCTGAGATATCAGGTCAGGACTGATAACATTACAGACCCTTTGAATTTTATCGAGAATCTTGAGATATATTGCACGAACAACAGACCAGATTGTTGTTCATGATGACGGTCGTCTTTGAGTATAGAATCCAGAGGTTAGCAGTGGATATCCCGGTAAAGTAGCAGAGCGTAGTTCTTCATTCTGCTCCTCTTCGCATGACAAGCTGGCACTGGACATTCGGATAGAGTAAACAAAATGGCCACCTTTATACACAACGGATTGAATATTCTACGTCTTCTGATTGGTTAACCTTCTATTGGTGGACTATAAAGTGTGTCAAGTCATTTGGGCTAGCTCACTAGTTAATACATATACACAAAAAAACTGCAACACAGATGTGGCAGCAACGAACGACTGGTAGATATATAAATGTGCAAATTGTATTCTGACGAGAATTTTTTTTTTTGATACGACACAGAGAATCAGCTTTTCTAGCAGCACATCTAGCAACAGATTCAATATAATTACACCATTTCTTGTCAATGGAAAATGTGAGACCAAGAACTGTCAATAAGCTACTCTCCTGGAGGTTAGCATTAGCCATGCGGATGGAAGGCAAAATGGTTCTCTATGACTCTGGAGACATTAAAATTTAAAGCCTTTTCTTGCCCCTGTTAACAACTGATTAGTGAACATTGTCAAGAACAACTGTCACTTTTACTTTGTCAGATCCGTCAGACTTAATATTAAAACAAGAGCAATAATTGTGTCATCAACATAAATACCTAACTGGGAAGGTCGTCGAAGGAGATAAGATAAGGTCCCAGGACGCCCCCACATTAATGTAAAATCATCCAGAAACATAGCCGTTTAACACAGCCGTCATTAGACGATTTGTTAAGAACGATTGGATTAAGTCAAATATTCGAGCAGAGACACCACAGCCCATTAATTTGTGAAGAAGGCCAGCGTGCCAAACGTTATCAAACGCTTTCGAGATATCTAAAGCCACAGCCTGAGCCACGCCGTGCTTATCTAAAACCTGGCAGACAAGTTCAGTAATAATCGTTAACACATCAGCGGTTGATCTAGAGAAACGAAAACCATATTGTTTTTCTGAAAGAAGGTCATATGAAGCAAGATCAGAAATTGCTTCGTTTGTCACACTGTATTTTGCGATGACCTCTCTCGACATTCAGTGACCACAAAGGTCAATCTAACAATAACTATTTCAGAACTTGATGTCGTATGAGTGTTCGTGCCAAAAAATTAGGTTCATGCCCCCAAATGAGGTTCTTGTTACTTGAACAGAATTGTGATTTGCATGCACAAAAGGAAGTATGCATGAGAACCAAATTTCAAAGACTTTTGTACTCAATTCGTAAGGCACTGTTTAACATCTACGTTAACGAAGTCGGTGTTATTCATAGGAATATACAATTTTAGTTCAGTCTTTTCATTTTAATGATACAGCTACCGAGAATTTTAGTGCCAGATTTTTATGGCAAAAACCCTGCTATTTCCAATTTTAAAAAAAGTTCATTGCTGGTTGACAGATTTAATAACTTTGTAGCCTGTTTTAGGCTTATAAAGATTTCTCTGTTTCGCTTTAACAGTTAATTTAAAAACTGTTTACAAACTGATTTTATGCGTTTGTGGTCAGCTACAAGCAGTGCTTCTCAAGCCTGGGTAAATTTCCCTCAAATATATTTTTTTTCTTTCGGTAACGATACACCATAGAATATACATTAAACTTTTCTTGGCATTTCATACAAGATGTAAACTTGCTTTAAAGTCGTTCTAGTTTACTCCTTGAAGTTAACTGGGAAACACAACCGCAGTAATGATTATCATTAAATCTTAATTGATTAAGGATTTTTGCCTCATATTTTTATGCCTGTTTCTTTTTTTTATCCGTATCTGTTTCTTTTACTCCTCTCTCTGAGCCATTCTGTTTCTTTTATACCTCTCTCTGAGCCATTCTGTTTCTTTTACTCCTCTCTCTGAGCCATTCTGTTTCTTTTATTCCTCTCTCTGAGCCATTCTGTTTCTTTTATTCCTCTCTCTGAGCCATTCTGTTTCTTTTATCCCTCTCTCTGAGCCATTCTGTTTCTTTTTCCTCTCTCTCTGAGCCATTCTGTTTCTTTTTTTATTCCTCTCTGAGCCATTCTGTTTCTTTTACTCCTCTCTCTGAGCCATTCTGTTTCTTTTACTCCTCTCTCTGAGCCATTCTGTTTCTTTTATTCCTCTCTCTGAGCCATTCCGTTTCTTTTACTCCCCTCTCTGAGCCATTCTGTTTCTTTTATTCCTCTCTCTGAGCCATTCTGTTTCTTTTATTCCTCTCTCTGAGCCATTCTGTTTCTTTTATCCCTCTCTCTGAGCCATTCTGTTTCTTTTACTCCTCTCGCTGAGCCATTCTGTTTCTTTTATTCCTCTCTCTGAGCCATTCTGTTTGTTTTACTCCTCTCTCTGAGCCATTCTGTTTCTTTTACTCCTCTCTCTGAGCCATTCTGTTTCTTTTATTCCTCTCTCTGAGCCATTCCGTTTCTTTTACTCCCCTCTCTGAGCCATTCTGTTTCTTTTTTTCCTCTCTCTGAGCCATTCTGTTTCTTTTATTCCTCTCTCTGAGCCATTCTGTTTCTTTTATTCCTCTCTCTGAGCCATTCTGTTTCTTTTATTCCTCTCTCTGAGCCATTCTGTTTTTTTACTCCTCTCTCTGAGCCATTCTGTTTTTTTACTCCTCTCTCTGAGCCATTCTGTTTCTTTTTATTCCTCTCTCTGAGCCATTCCGTTTTTTTACTCCCCTCTCTGAGCCATTCTGTTTTTTTATTCCTCTCTCTGAGCCATTCTGTTTTTTTTTTCCTCTCTCTGAGCCATTCTGTTTCTTTTTATTCCTCTCTCTGAGCCATTCCGTTTCTTTTACTCCCCTCTCTGAGCCATTCTGTTTCTTTTATTCCTCTCTCTGAGCCATTCTGTTTCTTTTACTCCCCCCTCTCTGAGCCATTCTGTTTCTTTTTTTATTCCTCTCTGAGCCATTCTGTTTCTTTTACTCCTCTCTCTGAGCCATTCTGTTTCTTTTTTTCCTCTCTCTGAGCCATTCTGTTTCTTTTTACTCCTCTCTCTGAGCCATTCTGTTTCTTTTTATTCCTCTCTCTGAGCCATTCTGTTTCTTTTACTCCCCTCTCTCTGAGCCATTCTGTTTTTTTATTCCTCTCTCTGAGCCATTCTGTTTCTTTTTTTCCTCCCTCTGAGCCATTCTGTTTCTTTTACTCCTCTCTCTGAGCCATTCTGTTTCTTTTACTCCTCCCTCCCTCTGAGCCATTCTGTTTCTTTTATTCCTCTCTCTGAGCCATTCTGTTTTTTTTTACTCCTCCCCTCCCTCTGAGCCATTCTGTTTCTTTTATTCCTCTCTCTGAGCCATTCTGTTTTCTTTTATTCCTCTCTCTGAGCCATTCTGTTTCTTTTACTCCTCTCTCTGAGCCATTCTGTTTTTTTACTCCTCTCTCTGAGCCATTCTGTTTCTTTTATTCTCTCTCTGAGCCATTCCGTTTCTTTTTACTCCCCTCTCTGAGCCATTCTGTTTCTTTTATTCCTCTCTCTCTGAGCCATTCTGTTTCTTTTTTATTCCTCTCTCTGAGCCATTCTGTTTCTTTTATCCCCTCTCTCTGAGCCATTCTGTTTTCTTTACTCCTCTCCTCTGAGCCATTCTGTTTCTTTTATTCCTCTCTCTGAGCCATTCTGTTTGTTTTACTCCTCTCTCTGAGCCATTCTGTTTCTTTTACTCCTCTCTCTGAGCCATTCTGTTTCTTTTATTCCTCTCTCTGAGCCATTCTGTTTCTTTTCCTTTCCCCTCTCTGAGCCATTCTGTTTCTTTTATTCCTCTCTCTGAGCCATTCTGTTTCTTTTATTCCTCTCTCTGAGCCATTCTGTTTCTTTTATTCCTCTCTCTGAGCCATTCTGTTTCTTTGACTCCTCTCTCTGAGCCATTCTGTTTCTTTTATTCCTCTCTCTCTGAGCCATTCTGTTTCTTTTATTCCTCTCTCTGAGCCATTCTGTTTTTACTCCTCTCTCTGAGCCATTCTGTTTTTTTACTCCTCTCTCTGAGCCATTCTGTTTCTTTTATTCCTCTCTCTGAGCCATTCTGTTTTCTTTTATCCCTCTCTCTGAGCCATTCTGTTTCTTTTTTACTCCTCTCTCTGAGCCATTCTGTTTCTTTTATTCCTCTCTCTGAGCCATTCTGTTTCTTTTACTCCTCTCTCTGAGCCATTCTGTTTCTTTTTACTCCTCTCTCTGAGCCATTCTGTTTCTTTTATTCTCTCTCTGAGCCATTCCATTTTTTTTACTCCTCCTCTCTGAGCCATTCTGTTTCTTTTTTTATTCCTCTCTCTGAGCCATTCTGTTTCTTTTTATTCTCTCTCTGAGCCATTCTGTTTTTTTATCCCTCTCTCTGAGCCATTCTGTTTCTTTTTACTCCTCTCTCTGAGCCATTCTGTTTTTATTGCTCTCTCTGAGCCATTCTGTTTGTTTTTCCTCTCTCTCTGAGCCATTCTGTTTTTTTTACTCTCTCTCTGAGCCATTCTGTTTCTTTTTATTCCTCTCTCTGAGCCATTCCGTTTCTTTTTACTCCCTCTCTGAGCCATTCTGTTTCTTTTATTCCTCTCTCTGAGCCATTCTGTTTCTTTTATTCCTCTCTCTGAGCCATTCTGTTTCTTTTATTCCTCTCTCTGAGCCATTCTGTTTTTTTACTCCTCTCTCTGAGCCATTCTGTTTCTTTTACTCCTCTCTCTGAGCCATTCTGTTTCTTTTATTCCTCCTCTCTGAGCCATTCTGTTTTTTTTTTACTCCCCTCTCTGAGCCATTCTGTTTCTTTTATTCCTCTCTCTGAGCCATTCTGTTTCTTTTATTCCTCTCTCTGAGCCATTCCGTTTCTTTTACTCCCCTCTCTGAGCCATTCTGTTTCTTTTATTCCTCTCTCTGAGCCATTCTGTTTCTTTTACTCCCCTCTCTGAGCCATTCTGTTTCTTTTATTCCTCTCTCTGAGCCATTCTGTTTCTTTTATTCCTCTCTCTGAGCCATTCTGTTTCTTTTACTCCTCTCTCTGAGCCATTCTGTTTCTTTTACTCCTCTCTCTGAGCCATTCTGTTTCTTTTACTCCTCTCTCTGAGCCATTCTGTTTCTTTTATTCCTCTCTCTGAGCCATTCCGTTTCTTTTACTCCCCTCTCTGAGCCATTCTGTTTCTTTTATTCCTCTCTCTGAGCCATTCTGTTTCTTTTTTTTCTCCCTCTGAGCCATTCTGTTTCTTTTACTCCTCTCTCTGAGCCATTCTGTTTCTTTTACTCCTCCCTCCCTCTGAGCCATTCTGTTTCTTTTATTCCTCTCTCTGAGCCATTCTGTTTCTTTTACTCCTCCCTCCCTCTGAGCCATTCTGTTTCTTTTATTCCTCTCTCTGAGCCATTCTGTTTCTTTTATTCCTCTCTCTGAGCCATTCTGTTTCTTTTTCCTCTCTCTCTGAGCCATTCTGTTTCTTTTACTCCTCTCTCTGAGCCATTCTGTTTTTTTTTTCCTCTCTCTGAGCCATTCCGTTTCTTTTTACTCCCTCTCTGAGCCATTCTGTTTCTTTTTTTCCTCTCTCTGAGCCATTCTGCTTTTTTTTATTCCTCTCTCTGAGCCATTCTGTTTCTTTTATCCTCTCTCTGAGCCATTCTGTTTCTTTTACTCCTCTCGCTGAGCCATTCTGTTTCTTTTATTCCTCTCTCTGAGCCATTCTGTTTGTTTTACTCCTCTCTCTGAGCCATTCTGTTTCTTTTATTCCTCTCTCTGAGCCATTCCGTTTCTTTTACTCCCCTCTCTGAGCCATTCTGTTTCTTTTATTCCTCTCTCTGAGCCATTCTGTTTCTTTTTATTCCTCTCTCTGAGCCATTCTGTTTCTTTTTTATTCCTCTCTCTCTGAGCCATTCTGTTTCTTTGACTCCTCTCTCTGAGCCATTCTGTTTCTTTTATTCCTCTCTCTGAGCCATTCTGTTTCTTTTACTCCTCCCTCCTCTGAGCCATTCTGTTTCTTTTACTCCTCCCTCTGAGCCATTCTGTTTCTTTTTATTCCTCTCTCTGAGCCATTCTGTTTCTTTTATTCCTCTCTCTGAGCCATTCTGTTTCTTTTACTTTCTCTCTGAGCCATTCTGTTTTTTTATTCCTCTCTCTGAGCCATTCTGTTTCTTTTACTCCTCTCTCTGAGCCATTCTGTTTCTTTTATTCCTCTCTCTGAGCCATTCTGTTTCTTTTATTCCTCTCTCTGAGCCATTCTGTTTCTTTTACTCCTCTCTCTGAGCCATTCTGTTTCTTTTATTCCTCTCTCTGAGCCATTCTGTTTCTTTTACTCCTCCCTCCCTCTGAGCCATTCTGTTTCTTTTATTCCTCTGAGCCATTCTGTTTCTTTTATTCCTCCCTCTGAGCCATTCTGTTTCTTTTACTCCTCTCTCTGAGCCATTCTGTTTCTTTTATTCCTCTCTCTGAGCCATTCTGTTTTTTTACTCCTCCTCCCTCTGAGCCATTCTGTTTCTTTTACTCCTCCCTCTGAGCCATTCTGTTTCTTTTACTCCTCTCTCTGAGCCATGTCCTTTAAAGACGTGAGTAACCATGGGTCTGCGCAGCTTCCAGTCTGACAATACTTCTTCATTTATGGTCACTCTTCGTAGTCATGGTCCTCTTAATTTCTGTTGTTTACAGGTCTACCCGGAGTGGTAGCACTTGTTAGGGTCCCAGCTATGGGTAAATAGTGAAACCCCCAAACAGGGGTCAAAGCATTATGAAAGTATAAAAATTCATTTTTTATAGTAAAAAATTCAGCAATAGATTTTAATAATAAAAAGAAAAAAATTACCAAAGCTCCTAAGAAAATTAAATTTCAGCATGAAATGACCCATAAGGTGTTGATATGCTGTTAAACAAACCAAACCAAATCCTCGTGGTACTTGTGCCTCCATCTATTTGCTCACATTTGTTTTCGGTTGTTTCTCTTTCATCTGATGTGCTCTGTGAGTGTTGCATTCTCTATGCCTTCTTTCCTCATTATGGGTCCTCAAAATTTCAACAATCTCTTCAGGATTGTTAGCAATATTTTCTTTATAGGAATTTTTCTTAAACGTTTCTGGTTCATCACATGATCTATGATATTGAATGTTCAAAAGTTCGAACCACTTTTAGTAAAAGTTATTGTATTTGGTCAAAAAATATAGTACAGGCATTTAGAAAAGTTGCAGATTTTCAGTGATCTAAAGACCCCCTGTCTATCAATTAGAATCTTGAATACCACATTGGTTTGAATATTCAACTACTATGGCTACTAGTGGCTTTTCTATAAATAAAGCAGTTATCTGCACATCCTGATCAAAATTGTTGATAAACTATCCTAAGTTTTTTTTTTTTTTTCAGGAACTTTCGATTGTCTCGGCCATCATTAAGAACTAAATGTAATTTAAAGTTATGGATTAAAGAAAAATTCAAAATACTCGAAGGTGTTATAAAAAAATGAAATCTTTTATCACTGGAAATATTATTTTAAAATGTACATAAAATATTTAAAATGCGTATAAAGTAATTACAACACGCATACACCTCTTTCAAGCTCTTTGAAACAGTTCTAGTGATATGTCCGGGAAAGGGATATATTTGAACGAAGTAGCTAAGTGGTTTGGCTACTATAACCAAGTAGAATACGGTAGCAGTAATCGACTGGTACGCGTCGTAGTCGCAGGTAAGAAGTGTAGATCAATGGCGTGGGCCAATGGGCGTCGTTATAGACTTAGCTCTCAGACTAAGGCTCTTGACTCTTCTACACGTCCGTCGGTATTTATGACGGACACCAGCCAATCATATTCCAGTGAGAAGGGAACACAGGTGTACGCATATTCCATTATATCAGATAGATAGATAGATAGATAGATAGATAGATAGATAGATAGTGATATGTCCCGGAAAGGGATATATTTGAACGAAGTAGCTAAGTGGTTTTGGCTACTATAACCAAGTAGAATACGGTAGCATTAATCGACTGATATGCATCGTAGTCGCAGGTAAGAAGTATAGATCAATGGCATAGTCCAATGGGCGTCGTTATAGACTTAGCTCTCAGACTAAGGCTCTTGACTAAGGCTCTTTCTCACCTACAGATCCGTCGGTATTTATGATGGACACCAGCCAATCATATTCCAGTGAGGGGGAACATAGGTGTATGTCTATTCCATTATATCATCTATACATGACGTCACTTATACGATGCACGTATATTTAAATGTGGAATATAACGTTATATCGTAGTTGAACCATGCTACAGGCGCCACTGAAAATTGTAACAGAGTCAGCGGCAGTCTGCTTCAGTCTCATAACTGGATTTTGTATGTCTCATTCCATATGTGACGCAGAGGAAGGTCATGAAATCAAGTGTGTGGGTCACTTCCACCTTAAACAAATTCACGCCATCGGTACATTGTTCTATTCGGATTTTCTTTCACCTCCAAGCGACTCTTGCAACGCCAAACGGCGGGTATGGAATGGATGACAGGAGCAGATTTTGGTGAAACTGGAAGCTTCCAGTTCAGAACCTGCACGTTTGGCGGCGAATTTAGTCATCAACGCCATCATCATAAAGGAAGCGATCAGCAAAGAAGAAATTGAATTCTTGGTTACGAGATAAAGCCGACGACGAATGGATAACGTAACAAAATTACCAGGATATAGCTTAAAAAAAAAACCCAATGAAAACAAAAAACCTTTTCAACGATACTGACTACATTGGGTAATGGCCGAAAACGGTGAAAGTACTCGATCAAAAACACAAGAAAAACACAGGTTTTTGGTAGTTTGCCGTCAATTTTATTGAGATGGTCAACAACTTATTCAAAAATTGGTAAAATACTATGAAAATTAAACAGACTTTGTTGGTTGCATTTAATACAGCATATTTAAATTAATTGTTCCTGCTTAAATATACACGCGCACACACCGACTCACACACACATACATACATACATACATACACACACATACACACACACACACATATATATATATATATATATATATATATATATATATATATATATACTCCGAAAAACATATGTTATTTTTTCTTTTCTCCTCAGTAATTTTATAGTTTTTAAACTTAATAGTTATTAAATTTGGATTTTAAAATTGGCAGTTTTTAATTTTAATATCAAATTTTATCATATAATTTAATAATTATTGGTTAGGATAAATTCTTTTTAATATTACCCGTATTTTAAACATCTGAATAGCTATTATAACATGATTTCGTTGTCAAGCTTTTGAATCTTCCTATACTTGGCTTTTGATTGATCATTCTAGCTTTTGTAACAATGTTTCCCCCCTAGCGAAGGATCGTTAATTAATTTGAAACTTTTAAAACCATTTATTTTATCTTCAACATCATCACTTGATAAAACACAGAGTGTGTTGAAACAAAATGGCTATTTTTGTAGTGATTTTATAACATATTTATGTTATAAATTTTTTTTATATAAAATAATTATATATATATATATATATATATTAAGAAATGGACATGGTCCGACAATTTATTTATTAAAGACATTTTTTATGTTTAACGTTGTTATTTTATAGATACAAGTATTTAAGCAAATTCTCGGACATTCAGGCCGGTAAATGTTATTTAATACTGTTTATCATAAACAGAGCATTTGCTTAAATACTTGTATCTATAAAAATAACAACGTTAAACATAAAATGTCTTTATATATATATATATATATATATATATATATATATATATATATATATGGATATAAGATTGTAACACTGAGTTATTAACAACTATATATATCTTTAGTTATTATTTACTCAGTGTTACACACACACACACACACACACACACACACACATATATATATTTAGTTGTTACTAACTCAGTGTTACAAACTCATATCCATACAACTAGTTCTATTACTATAGTTCTATTACTGATATTGAGCGCTTTCCAGTAAGTAACGCGCATATTGAGAGGCATGGTGGAGTAATGGATAAAGATTCGGAGTGAGGAATCGGAGAGCAGGTTTCAAATTCCAGTCAAATCAATTACATCCACTTACGTATATATATATATATATATATAAACATTTGGGAATGGTATGAATCTTCTTTTCCCAGCAGCTATTAGTGGCAAACCGGTAAGACAAACCGGGTTCTGTAACCTTGAATGGCAACTGGTCTTCCGCAGAAAAAAATGGCAACCGACTGCGTAAAAAAAAATCTTCCTCGTCAGTCATGTATCGAAAGATACATGATCGCCTAACTGACTTTTAACGCGCATGCATATATATATATATATATATATATATAGTAAAACCTGACGATCCGATTAGGTGAAAACCTGGGTAGGTTTGACTAGGTCTGCTCTACGGTTGTATTGAGCTCTTTTTAGTTAGTTCTTTACTCGTTTCGGGGTTTTTTCTTTGTGCTTTGAACCTGTATCTGTGTGATTTTTTTGACAGACTTTCATGTTCCTGGCTCTTTCTTTTTTTAAAACCCTTTTTTCCTTCGAGATTGATTTGATTATTGGCAAATCAAAAATTCGAAGGTTTTTCGAGACGATGTATAGTAAAAGCCAGCTTTCCCTGACCATCCGCTTAGGTGAAACCTGGGTAGGTTTGCCTGGCTCACTAGGCTTGACTATATATATATATATATATATATATATATAGTAAGGGTCAACCTTTACAAGGCCCAGGGTCCACTCGAGGTAGAGGGTTACATTAGGAGGCAATTTGTGCGGATAGGAGTGGAAGGTAACGATTAACTCTGAACTTGAACAGGTTAAGATTGTAGTGATCTGGGAAGCATCCTCTTGGGAGTCGGTTCCACAAAGCAATGGTTCGCGATAATAAGCTGTAAGAGTGGAACTTACTTTCTCACCGATGGGATACGGAGGGAATGTGGATGGTTTGATACTTGGGAAGTGGCATGTCATGTTCTTGCCTTGAAGGCTTGAATTGGCTGAACCAGGGAATATATTTCGTCCGAGCACTCTCCGTGGAAGTAGTGATAGAGCAGCGAGTCGCTTGCCACATACCACCTAATGAAGGAAAGAATGAATGAATTAAATAATCAGCTCTGTCGCCGTTTTCGATGAATGGGTCTAAAAGGCGTAGTATTTTAACGCCATCTGCTGTTGGGGGTTGATAAGTGACACCAATCCCACACGACTTATGCAAGATAACCAGCATTTATTGTGAATTAATTGAATGTGCTTTCACTCATTGATTGCATGTCCTGGCCTCACTTCATACGAAGATTCCATCTGAGATTTCACTCACTGATTGATTCCAGTATTGTAGGATCTCTTCCGATTGTTTTGGTTGAACCCTAATTGATTTCAGATTATCTTTGAGTTTATCTTTGTATCTCAGAAGGGGTTTTCAGCCATTACTCTGACCATCAAGAAGCTGAC